GTATAGAAGGCGACCAGCGAAACCCCAAGTAAACGCTAGGTTAACACACCTGCTCCCCATCTACTGGCGTGATCGACAGGACGCGGCTACGACTTCAACAGGTCGGAGTAAGGCAACGCAGGAGTCTCTTTTACCTACAGGTGCACAGCTGTATCTCGCAATCTGCTAGAACCTTGAACAACAGGCATGGATACATGAAAATGATACGTGAAACAGACAGGCACCTGGATGTGTAACATTCAGTGATTCAACCAGCCACAAATTTAAAACACGTAGAGCTGCGTGGCCCGTGAAGTCGGCATTCTACATTGCCTGTTATTGCCCAAGTGAATTACGAGCGGAGCAAAACATGAGGTACAGATGTGACTTGCGAGAATCTATACATCCTCAGCCTGGAGACAGCTTTATGAAAAGAGTAGGACACGCACACAAATGCAAGCGGATCTTCGGGAAAACAGTATTTGCTCGAAAGATTGTCCACATGTTCAACTCCCTATCCAGATGGAAAGCTTACTGCACAAGAGATGTAGCGCCTAGCTCCAGTTGATGCCAGCAATAGCATCGATTGCAGCTTGGGAAAAGCGCACTTGACCGTAAGCAAAGAATGTTCTCCTGTGAAAAAGTATCCCACTGGTCTTTTGGGCAAGTATCTGTAGAAGTGCCTTTTGCTGAGAAAAGCATCTTCATAGAAATGGACACACGCACTACGGAGGGATACCTTCTCCTGTGAGAAGCATTCCGTGAAAGCACTCGGTCCACTTCAGAACGTCAGTACCGGAGGACTTGTCGACCTTGCCACCTTTTCCTTTTCCGCCAAAAGGTTGCGCGGGTTCGGCGGGGAGGTTGTGAGCCAGAAGCAGTTGCACCAGAAACTCCCTCTCCCGGTGTAGAGCCTGTTCGAGTAGCCTTGTTTGCTTTTTGTCTCGCCTTGACCGTCTCGGGATTTCGGCTCATAGCTCTCATCCTTCCTCCAGTGTACTGGGTCACGTGGCCCTCTGACTCGGTGCTCTGGCGAGCTTGCGCCTCCATCAACTCATTCTCACGAATGAGCCGCCGACGAAGGACCTCTGCATCCAGCGTGGGTACCGCTCCCTATGGTCAGCTTCCCTGGATTGGCGACGCATCGGCAGTCGTAGCCACCTAAGGCCTCTTCTTTGGCGCCGGCTTGGGCTTGGCTTCTGAGCTGCTACCTGGTACCTCTCCCGAAGCAGAAGCTCAGGTTGGTTACCTCTTCATGTGAGGCTTCGTGTCGCTTCTTCTCGTATAACGCAAGCCTCATGAGGCGGGCGGTAGTGGAACGACAAGTATACATGGCTGCTACGTCCGTCGTCGTCTGCGCGGAACCCTTCTGCGCCATCCTCTTCATCCTCGACCCAACAGCCCTCGTGGTTGTCAAGGTAGGGTAGCCCCTAGATGACCAGAAAGGTCTTTCGGCCACCACGACCTGAGGGGGCGAGGACAGGATTATCGACAGAAATCTTAGTTGTGCAGAAGATCACCAGGTAGACCTCGCGAAGTCGTTCAGGCGGTGTGGGGCTACAAGGAGGTTGGCCGTGATTGAAATGCTGATCTCTGAACCTCTCATTGGCTCTGTCCATCGCCTCCTCATTGGTGAGAGGTTGGCCGTGATTGAAATGCTGATCTCTGAACCTCTCATTGGCTCTGTCCATCGCCTCCTCATTGGTGAGTCCTGCTACGAATGCTCGGACCTCGGCGTCTCGGCGTTGTTCGGGTCCATGATAGGAAGGTAGGCGTCGTTCCAGGTTTCTTCCTGCATCCTTTGCACAAATAGTTGAAACCTGGTAATCCAACGAAGCATGTCCCCATTGCCGCGGTGCAAGTTCATGAAGACGAACACATTGGCTGCGCCCTTGTCCAACTCAATGATATCACACCAGTCATCGATCGCATCTTCATAGGCGAACCAACTGCTTCGCCTGTCATAAGACGGCGGTGCTTTGGTGGTGACTTGTTGAAAAGCTGAAAGTCGATGTTGGCAGTGAAGTGTCGCATATGATTCATGACCTTCAAAGAGGTACTGATCATTTCCTTCGCCATGCTCATACGGCATAGCAGAGTGGCTAGCCATTGCCCACGGATCGAGCCCCTGGAGACTTCTCTTCCGGATATCTTCATGTGGAGTTTGCCGGAGAGAATCCGGCCACCTGCGCCTGAGTGAACCACACCGGTTACCCCTCCATCTGTGCAAAGCATACCAAAAGGGTACCCCTACAAATGTGAAGCTTCCCGTTTTTGCCGGGAACTCCGCTACCATGTTGAGATGTAACCTGGGCGCGTATCCCCTCGCACGGCGTACAGGAACACAGGCAACGCAGGAGTCTCTTTTACTACAGGCGCACAGCTGTAGATCGTACTCTGTTAGAACCTTGAGCAACAGGACTGGATACATGCAAGTGATACGTGAAACAGACAGGCACCTGCGATTTGTAACTTTCAGTGTTTCACCCCCCCCCCCGTTCCCGCCCTCTCCCCCGTATGCAAGCTGAAGCATTAAGCGCATGGACTTATGACTGCGTGTTTGTTTGTCAACACACCCCGAGCTTATACAAGCAACACGGGCTGGGGTTTCACAGTTTCAGAGACGATGTTGGAGTTGGAAATCCAAACACGCACGGAGACGTACCAAAAGAACGAGGAAGGCCAACTGACACATAAGCATAGAAGACACAGAACCACAAGTGTAGCAACCGACACCTGCATCAAGCAACGCCCAGTCAACGTTCAGAAAAGCACTCGAAGGAACATACAACTCAACACCATTGAAATAGTGGTATGCGCAAATGCAGGCCCCACAGCCTCTTCTGCAATTCCATATAGTATGCATGGGGACGAAAATAAAGCCGTCATCACCCATGATGCTGAGGATGATGATGATGATGTTGATCATCATGATCATGATCATGATCATGATCATGATCATGATCATGATCATGATCATGATCATGATCACCATCATCTGCAGAAAAGCCGGCCAATGCCTGACAATCTGGCCTCAACAACAAAGTCACCCTCCTCCTCCTCCTCCTCCTCCTCCTGCTCCTTCGTCATACTGCTACGGCAAGCGCCACCACGACGACCACCACCACCCATCCGGAAGCAACGGCCTCTACTTCCTCTACTTCTTTGCAGCATCACTGCCATCGTCTTCCTAGGATAGCTCGTGATGATGGTCACCAGGTCCACACTCCTCCTTGTCAGACCTCTTACTGTTGTGGCAGACTTGTTTGGTGCTTGAAACTCCGTGCGTTAATGCCAAAGCGATGTGCTCCTTCTCGACGGTCTCCGCGTCCAGGCTGTAAGACAGGCCTCGGAGATTCGCTGCTGCGCGAGCTTATGTACGAAAGACTTTGGGTTTCCGAGGATGGAGCCCCTGATGCAAACCGTGAGCTCATCGTTCTGACTGCCCTTCCCTTTGCCCTTGTCCTCAGTTGTGGTTGTGAGACTTGGTGAGAGCGCATTCCTTTGCAGAGCTTTTCCGGGTCTGCTGCTTTTCCTTTGCTCTTGCCTTTGTCCTTGCCCTTCTCCTTCCCTTGGACACAGATAAAGCTCGAAAACTACTTAACTACTTCAAAGTGCACACTGTGCGGCCCGGCCTTTACCCTTGGCTGGCTTGTCCGAGGAGAGGTTCACCTCGCGGCGCGAGGCTTTGGTGCCAACAAGCCCTCACTGAGAGTGGCCAGAGCTAGAGCACCTTCAGCGTGCGGCCGCCATAGTCGTCGCCATCGTACTTCAGCGCCGCTTCCACCCCTCAAGAATCCAGATAATCGTCACTGTGGCTCAAAGTCGAGGTGCGGAAAATGGTCTGAACCCTCAATGCTTACAACTGAGGCCTTCTTTTGTCTTGAAAGTGATGAAAGCGATGCCTGCGAAGGCTTATGGCGCGACGGTCGCGCGATGCGGGCTCGCGTGGCAGGTGCGGCAGGTGCCTTTCGGCCGGCCCTCGTCGTTCTTCGGCATGCTAAACCTCCGAATTCGGAGGGAGAAAAGCAACGAAGATCCCTAAACCCTCTTCGAGTGACGGGCTTCACGATCTCCCCGCACTCTTCGAAGTCTTTCTTCACCTGCTCTTCGCCTCAGAGGACGACGGAGCGGCGACGAGCCGGCCTGGAGCCGCGCCGTGGCGCAGGTCAGCAGGCTCTTCTCAGGCGGAGGGCTCGTCGAGAAGGGCAAGCCGCCAACGAAGACTTCGTTCGACTCCTCGGCACTGGATTCTTTCAGGTTCACCCGGACCTTCCGGCCAGTCTCCGCGTCCTTGCCATCGCCTGGGATGAGCACACAAGGGCATCACGGAAGCAGATCAGATCAGAAAAAGCCGGCGCCCCCACCTTCGGTCTTGGCCTTCTTCGCCTGCCATTCTTGTCGCTGCACACTGCGTTCCTCAGTCCGTCGCGCCTTGGGAGGAGGGACTTCCTCCTCCTCCTCCTCTTCGTCGTCATCGTCATCATCCTCCGCGGCAGCCTGGAGTGCAAAGAGGCAGAGATGGCGTTTGGCCCGAAAGGAGCCCAAGCCTTCGCCTTTGCTTTGGGCTTTGCCTTGGGCTTTGGTGCAGGCTCGTCGTCATCATCGTCATCGTCGGAATCGTCGGCAGCGGCTTTGGCTTTGGCTTTTGCCTTGGCCTTGGGCTTCGGTGCCTCAGCGGAGCTCAGCGCTTGCCTCCTGACCTATCGCGGGTGGATGTTCAGCACCACAGCACTAGGCTTCCAGCTGGCTCGTCGTCATCGTCATCGTCGTCATCATCATCCATCGCAGCCTTTGCTTTGGCCTTGGCTTTGGCCTTTGCCTTCGGTGCCTGAGTGGTGGCTTGGGCACGGTTGGAATCAGCCTGCAATCTGTCCGGGGCATCTGCCGGCTCGTCATCGTCGCTGTCGTCATCCTCGTCATCTGCGGCCTTTGCTTTGGCTTTTGCCTTTGCTTTGGCCTTGGCCTTGGGAGCCTCAGCAACAGTTCTCGAACTGGAATAAACGACGGCATGCCGTCAAGTTTTTGAGGCTTCTGCTGGCTCATCATCGTCATCGCTGTCATCATCGTCATCTGCCGCGGCCTTCGCCTTGGCCTTTGCTTTGGCCTTTGCCTTCGGAGCCTCAACAAGCAAGCCGGGGTTGCATGTCTAAATCTCTGCCACGCTCTGAGGGACGTGCTGGCTCATCGTCGTCGCTGTCATCATCGTCATCCGCGGCGGCCTTTGCTTTAGCCTTTGCTTTGGCTTTGGCCTTCGGAGCCTGGAGGGAAAAGAGTGACAAAAGTGAAGCGACCCAAACCGTCTGCAGTTGTCTGCCCGAGGCATGCGCCGGCTCGTCATCGTCGCTGTCGTCGTCATCATCTGCCGTGGCCTTTGCCTTGGCCTTGGCCTTTGCTTTGGCTTTTGCCTTCGGGGCCTCAGCGAGAGGCTTGACTCCGAGACTTGGACCCAACGTACCTAGGACGACTTGGGCCAATGCCGGCTCGTCATCGTCGCTGTCGTCATCCTCGTCATCTGCGGCCTTTGCTTTGGCTTTTGCCTTTGCTTTGGCCTTGGCCTTGGGAGCCTCAGCAACAGTTCTCGAACTGGAATAAACAACAGCATGCCGTCAAGTTTTTGAGGCTTCTGCTGGCTCATCATCGTCATCGCTGTCATCATCGTCATCTGCCGCGGCCTTCGCCTTGGCCTTTGCTTTGGCCTTTGCCTTCGGAGCCTCAACAAGCAAGCCGGGGTTGCATGTCTAAATCTCTGCCACGCTCTGAGGGACGTGCTGGCTCATCGTCGTCGCTGTCATCATCGTCATCCGCGGCGGCCTTTGCTTTAGCCTTTGCTTTGGCTTTGGCCTTCGGAGCCTGGAGGGAAAAGAGTGACAAAAAAGAAGCCCAAACCGTCTGCAGTTGTCTGCCCGAGGCATGCGCCGGCTCGTCATCGTCGCTGTCGTCGTCATCATCTGCCGTGGCCTTTGCCTTAGCCTTCGCCTTCACTTTGGGCGAGGCTTTGGCCTTGGCCTTCTTGGGTGCCTGGCTCAGCGGCGTGGAGGGCCGTGACCGTGGCAAAGGGGAGGAGACATCGCGGCTGGGTCTCAGACCGGCTCGTCATCGCTGTCCTCGTCGTCTGAGTCTTCTGGCACCGGCTTCTTTTTGGGAGCCTTTGCTTTGGCCTTTGGTGCCTTTTTTAATGCCGTCTGCCAACATTGCCGCTGGGATCTCGTGAACTTGGCTCCGCACTGGCTCGTCGCTGTCGTCGTCGTCGTCATCCGCCGCAGCCTTTGCTTTGGCCTCGCAGAGCAAGGCGGGGGCAGGGCGGCGGCTGAGGTCCTCGAGACATCTCGAGAGCGGACTCCGACTCCCCGCGGGCCCCCTGGGCCTTGCCCTTCTTCTCGAGCGCAGAGAGCTTGGACTTGGCCATCTTCACCGCCTCGGACCCGACCCCACCCCCTGCATGGCAGCTCCGACGGCACAGCGGCCTGCATCGACGACACGTCCTCCTCCTCCTCCTCGGGCTCCTCGGCCTTCTGCTTCTTCCCTACCTTCTCCTCGGCCTTGCGCTTCCCGTCCTCGGAAAGTTCCGCGATGGGCTCTTGAAGGGGGGCTCCCTTCCGGGTTTCTCTCACTTCGGACTCTGCTGGCCTTCTTCACTTTGGCCATCGCCTCAAAAAGGCGCAGTCTTTTCATGTCGGAGCAAAGTCTCGCTAGGAGTAGCCCCTGTATAGAGTCTTCTAGTACCCACACACACACACACATATATATATATATATATGCATATGTAGCAAGTAGCATATACCGTGGGTATACTTTGCAGCTTCATTGGGGCGTATAAAACGGGCTCTCTTGGGCTCTTGAAGGGGGGCAGTGAGGGCAGCGGCTGGGGCAGCGGCTTTTGGGCACGAAGTGGACCTCCTCGGGCCTCTCCGCTCGCGAGCTTTCTACGCTTCTTTTGAGCCCCAAAGCGGCAAAAGCCTGTCAAGTGCCGGCAAAAAAACAGCCAAGAAGTTGCTGGCAATGATGCGAGTCTTAGCATAACAGAAGCAAGATCTTGCTGCAGACAGCCGGTGCAAAGCAATTCGACAACCTTCATCTGCAGAAGCTCCGATCTGTCGTCCGTCGCACCGAAGTGCTTCCAAGAATTTCAAATCAAGGGCCATCCATGACCCATGCAAAACCAGTAGCACAACATGCGTACAAAGGCGCGGAAATGCTGCTGGAGTTTCCACAGCATGGTCGGCGAATCCTTTAACAAAAGGTCCACAGAAAAGTGTGGTCCTTCACATAAACGCTGAATTGGAGCGTTGAGCAACGCCTGAGATACACTCCCCACGACGCAGACATCCCGACCTGCACAAAAATCCATCGTGGGGGTTTGTGGCACCAGACCAGTCTAGCTGGACCAGCCCGGTTTCCACCTGTGAAACAAACAAAATCGGACTCCCAAGGAGCCCCCAAGGCACCAAGCTTGAGCTTGGCAAAGGTACGTGAAAATCCCTCAAATTGCGGCACCTCGGTGGTGTTTGGCTCACCTTACCAGGATTCATGGACTCTTGGCTCATACAGCTGCTCTTTGCTACGCCGCTACGCAGTGCTTAACAGCCATGGCAGCCGCTGCTCTCTACAAAGCCCTGCTCTTTTTTCTTCGATGACTGCCCTCACCCTCCTCGAGGAGGATGAGGATGGTGGTGATGATTACGACGACCAGGATCTTGATCTCCGTACGGATGATCCCGGGGCGGGAATCTCAGGCCAAGACTGAGTTGCCGCCTGGGTTCTCCAAAAAACGAAAGCTCTCAGAGAAGTCTCGAAAAAATATGCACCCAATCTTTCCAGCGTTCTCCACCGGCTCAGCGGCTAAAACGGGAGAAGAGTCAGAGATGAGGACCGGAAAGAGATAACCATACCCCGGGGCCCGGACACGCGCGGGTTCGCGTTGCAGCCGAGCGCTTAGCTTTGGGAGCAGCCGGCTTCCGCTTCCTCGTCGAACTGCCCCGCCGGGCCGTCTCTGGCCTGGCCCAGAGCCTCAAAGGAAGGCCGTGGGCATAGCCGGGCAGGGCCGTGGGGGGTTCCCCCCCAAAACAGGCGTCGAAACGTCCTTCGGCAAACTTTCTGGTTTTCAGCTCCGAGCCGAGGTCTGAAGGCCACTGTGGTAGCTGGCCTGGAGCAAAGAGAGCCGAAGAGAAAAATGGCGACAAAAAGCACGGCACAAAACAAAATCACACACACACACAACTCCAAAGGCGTCTCTTTTGGTCGTGGTGTGTCTTGGGCGGCGCCTGGGGGCTGGGGAAAGCGGGCATCGCGGAAGGCGGGGCCCCGGTCGCCGCGGGGACCGGGGCCCTCGGAGCTCCGAGGGCCTCCGGTCGAAGCCCCGGTCCTGGCCAAAAGAAAAGGGAGAGAGCTATATAAGAGGGGCATAGGGGGTTTAGAAACCCGAAACCCAGGTTTAGAAACCCTTTTGAACCCTAAAGCCTTAGATGGCGCCCAAACTGCCGGCCTGGGCCTGGTACCCCAGTGAAAGCTGCCGTAAGTGGCGCTGCCTCCGCCGCGCAGGCGCGCATATACATTATATGCCAGCTATCCAAGCTCAGTTTCTGCTGTCAGTCGTACTTCGGCCTGCGAAGGTGGCTTGGCAGGGAGCGTAGCATTGGCCACCTGGGCGCGAAGAGGGTTCGTAAACACCACATTCGCTCCCTGGATGGAGCGTAGGCTCTTGCCCCGCGCCCTCTCGAAATCTGGGAAGACCCGGCGGTGTCGTAGCGCTCCCCTGCCATGTGGGCCTCCTGTGCGGCACTGTACCTTGGACTCTCGTGCTGCTCTTCAACACACGAAGGCGCTTTCTTTATATTAAAGGGCCTTTAGTCACGGTTCTCTCCGGGCTTCTTACGTGCCGTAGGGTGCTCGAGCACTCTGGAAATGTGAAGTCAACGTCGGATGAGCTGGAGGATTTGCATACCTGAGATCTTCGCGGCATCAGCGAGTGCAGGGCAGGGAATGCGCAGGTGCCGGTCAACCGTCAGCTGCCAAGCTGACGACCCAGCCGGAGCCTTCGCCCCGCGAGCGTTGTTCGCAGCCTTTTTGCCAGTGAAAAACGGTAAAGAAAACATGAGCAAAGCCTTCCTGCTTGCTCCAAGAGTTGGGCTGGAGCTCGTGTCTGTGCATACCTGCCATGACATATGACATAAAGCCACAACACGGCGCTTCACCACAGCAAAGAAGGCCAAAGTTACTGATCGCCCCACTCCGGAGCCCGCTGTCTGCCTGCAACTGCTTTATATCGTCAGCAACCCCGCTCGAGACTTTTCAAAATTTCTGAACGATTCGACTGACGAAAGAGCAGCCCAAGAAGGCGAGAAGCCAGTGCCAGGTCCGTGGTAGTTTGCTTGCCTCCCGCGCGCTCTTCACCGCGTGCGCTTCCGCCAAAGGAAGAAAGCGGCTCAGGCTCGAACCTGTCTGGCGGGCTCTGGCCCGCAGGAGCCTTAAGAGCCGCCATCAGCCACGGTACTCCCAGAATTACGTACACTTTGCTCTTGGGGGCCGCCGCTGCGCCAGGCTGCCAAGGCCCGAGCGTGTGACGCTTGGTAGATGTCTCGCGCAGCCTTGCGATTGCGCGCCTGGCGGATTGCCGGAGTAGAAGTAGAAGTAGAGGCACCCCGTCTATCGCGCTTATAAGGCGCTTTAAGAGGTTTAGTTCAGGGCCATGGGGGCGCACGCCTGTTTCGGAGAGCTACAGGGCCAACGTGGCAAGGGACGGCAACCAGACACGAGACGGAGCATGTCAGCGCATGTCAGCCGCGGGCCTTCTCTTCCTCGGCGGAATGCATTCCTGGCAAGCGCCCCAAAACAAAAACCTCTCTTTTCGATGCAAGCATTTGTATAGACTGAGAAGCCCTCCTGGCCCAGTGGCTGTGCTACCTGCGAGTAAAACGGGCATGAATTTGCTGGCTGACAATCCAAAAACAAGAATTCCACTGCGGCAAAGCTGCTGGGCGGGCACTGGCTAGACATGGCTGGAATGGGTGGCCTTCGCCATGCTCATGGAGGCTACGACGGCTACGAAGACCATGACAAATAGAATGAGGCACAAGCAATTCCTGCCCTTTGGCAATCTGGAACAAATCGGCGACCTCAGAGCACATGTAAAGATTCTGCAAGCCGGTGTAAGCACTTCTGTATGGCTGAAGATTCGGCTGTTACCTTGTTCGGAACATTCGCGGAAGGTTCCTTAGGACACGAGCCACAGAAAGCTTGAAGAAGCCCGAAGTCTTTCTGCGAGTCACAGAACCTGAGATTGCAGCATGATGGGATACTGGCTCTTTCTGCCTGTTCCATGGGAACAGGGACTTGGGGGGGGGGGGCCGGAGCCCGGCTGTGAAGCGAAGGGAAAGCACAGCGCAGCAGTCGCCTGGCGCCGATCATGGAGAGGATCTGGCTGCCGGCGCTGTTGGTGCCGTGCTTCTGTGAAGACTGCGACTGCGCCTGAGATGGGCGCAAATGCGCGAGCAGACACACTAACAATAATAATAATAACAATAATAATAATCATCCATACCATTACTAATGACCATAGTACGACGACTACTCAATACTATAATAATACTACTGATAACAATACAAAAAAGAATAGTATTATTATAAACATCTATGTGACTATGCACGTGAGACAGAATTCTTTCGGCTCTCCGGCCCCTCTCCGGCGCTGCGGCCCCGGCTCTGTCGTTCCAGTAGGAGCCCTTGCCGGCCTTTGAAGAGCTGCTCTTTTTTGGGATCTATAGTATTGCACGTGGGTAGCTCTCTAAATTATTGTAGGGTCCCTTTGAAATGTCGCTTTTGGCAAGACAGAGCGCGGCGGCCTGGGCATGGCCGGCATGGGCTGAGGGCCTCAGCGGCATTTGAGCGGCTGTCCCCCTCACCCGTCCCCAAACAGCAACTTCAGAGCCGCCCCCTGAGTTCAGGAACGGATTCCGCATCGTGCTGCCCACGTGATTTCCGTGGAGACCGCCGTTGCCGTGGGCATGCTGGGTGGCATGGGCGTGGCCTGTGAGGACACCTGGAATGTGACGGGGCAAAAAAGGTGCTCGGAAACGGACTCAGCTCAGCCCTGGCCTGGTGTCATTGGCTGTGCAGTAGGCCTGCGGTCGAGGGGCGACTTCTGCGCGGTCCCGGTTCCGGGCCCCGCAGTATTGACGTTTTAGAAGGGCCTTTCAGCGATGGGCGCCAAGGGCGCTGCTAACTTTGGAGCAGGCCTCGGGGATTCTGCCGAGACAGTGTCGTGGGTCGCATCCGCAAGGAACAATCATGTCAGAAGGAGGCAGAGCACAGAAGCAGCAGCAGCAGCAGCAGCAGCAGCAGCAGCAGTCGTCAGAGTCGCGCGCGTACCAGACGCAAAAAGTCGCTTCGAGTTGCAACCGCAGGCTGCGAAGGAGCAGTCGTAGCAGCGGCACTTTATTAATCATGAACAGCAGAGTTCAACGTCATGGTCTTCAGGTCCCACCCCCAAAACACGGAAGCAGCTGGCAGTTGCAACAGCAGGTCATGTGAGGCGCCGGCGCAGGCGCTACAACGACGGGCGGTGCCAGCGGCGCAGGAGCGCTGACAACCGGCACTTCGCTTCGACGCACTTCAAACTCCTCGTCGTCTTGCTTTACCTGCAGAGACCCGCGGCTGCACAGGCTGCGGTCGATTGCATCATGCGGTGTCTTCTCAATTACCAGAGACTTCTTTCCGCAAACTCTTCTTGGCGATATCACGCCTCGGGCGATGGCTTGTCGTTGGCAAACCACCTACTGAATCCTGTCATGGATCGCAGCTGCATGCACAGCCAGCGAAGGCCACCCAAAATGCTCCCAGTACACTGGAGGCCTCGAGATTGATGCTTGTCCTCCTGCAAGATGGGTCTCCCAGCGCTTTAAAGCCCCCCCTCAATTTCCATATTAACTGCAGGTCCTTCGGCACCCCCTCGCGAACCTGGACTTCGGGTTCAGGGGCCTCAGAAGTTGCTCCCAACTCAGGCGCTCAGACATCGATGTGATGGGTGGCTGACGGTCAGCGGTACGTGTTGCACTGGCGGCTCAGGGATACCGTTGCGCTCACCTTTCCAGCTGAGAGCTCTGAGCCGCGTCTAGGCCCTGCTATACCCTGCTTTTCAGCACAGCATAATCCCAGCTTGGGACTCGTGGGTGTCGGCGCAGGCGGAGCATTGTACTGCGAAGCACAGAGCAGCGGTGTGCAACTTGGGATCAGGGACGAGCCGCCACGTGACTCAGGACAAGATGATGCATGGCCGTGGCCGCAGCAGAGCGACAGTTGCTGAAAGTCTTCCGCACTGCCTTTCGAATGTCGCCCAGCGTGCAGTCCAGCAAACCTCACAGAGCAGGTTTAGGGCGCCCTACGGCATGATATGTGTAATTACGAATCTGGACCTGCCGCAGTGCGACGTTTGAGCTTGGACCGAAGCAAGGCAACAACTGTATTCATGCTAGACTTTTCTGCCGGAGGAATGTCAAAAGTCCTACTATCTATCATAGTCATCGTATGTCGTCATCGTCTTCGTCTTCAGCCCATGACCATCAAGCACCCTCCACAAAGCCAGGCAAGACCAATTGCCAACATCAGGAATCGTCGCCACCATCCTCTTGAGACGCAGAAAGCTACGGAATGCTTGATGAACAGGCGACTGAACAGGCGGAGGGCTTAGCCGACACTCCGCTCTCGGGGAGATCCTGAGGTCAGCACTGCCGCCATCGTTCACCGCGGATGTGTCCGGCATGTCCCATTGGGGTTCTGGCTCGTCCTGGCTGCAGGGACTCCACTCCCTTAAGGGTCCAATCCCGGAACAAACAAGCCATCCAGACGTACGTGTTCCAAGGATCGGCCTCCACCAGGAGAAACGTCTTCAGAACTCTACTCTATCTATATCTCTACACTTCACGTTCTCCGTCACGGGGAGCACCTGGGTGCCGTGGTTCGCGCCATAGCCCCAAGTGCTCCACCTGCCGAAAAGGACTCAGAGCCGGCAGCGGAGAGAAACCGCGCAGAAGGCCGCAGGCCTGGAGTCCCGGTCGGTCCGGTCGTGCCAATCATGACGTTCCCTTTCCTCGGCCCGGGCCCGCCCCCCCCCCCCCAGCTTTTTTCCAAAAAGAGCCTAAGGAAAACGGGCCCAAGCATGGGCGGGGGTTTTGGAGCCCCCGGGCTGTCTTTGCCAGGCTTCGTGGCGATTTTCGCGGCCGTGCCGCTCGTGGCGATTCCGCCATTTCTCGCTCTGGTCCTCGAAAGACTTCGGAGCGGATGCTCCAAAGGAAGATCGCTCAGGTGTTGGTGCACATCATAATATGTAACCGGTCTCTAAATGTCTATCTATTGATTTATATATACGTTTCCTATTTCAGTCTCGGCTCGATCCGACTATATCACACTTTTTCACACCCAAAATGGCCGTGACTCTACATCGCGCCGTGGGGAAATACCTGCTTCTGGCGAACTACATGCACTCCCTCCCAATGAAGTGTCTAAAAATGAAAGATGTGTCTATGACAGAACACCTCCGAAGCCACTCCAAACAGCTGTATATGTCAAAACACAAGAGTACCAGCAGTCCCTCGGAAAGCAGTGTCTGTCACAAAATCATGCCGCACAACCCTCGCTTTCAGCTTCGACTTCAGATAGGACTGCATCGCGTCATAGATGTACGTGATCGTGTTTTATGCGGTGCCCCCTCTCTTGAGCAAGTTCCGCCAAACACTTTACTGCGAGAGGGCATCTCGTTCAGACTCGACAACAGTACATGTAGTATAGCACCAAGGAAAGCCATTGATTGAGGGATTAACTGACTGACTGACTGATTGTGTGGGTGAGTGAGTGATTGGAGTGAGTGAGTGATTGATTGATTGATTGAGTGAGTGAGTGAGTGATTCAAACAATTGCAGCCTCATAGCCTAGACTCTACATGCTGTACCACTTGAAGCAGTTGCTTTCTTCAACATGTTAATTGATTCCGATGTAGCAAATTGTTTCCCGGGCCCACTTCGGGCTGCTGAAAGAAACTTAAAGGCCAACACTGACACCACTGATGACATCGATCTGTGCTTCTCGGGAAGTGTCCTCATGTTCGAACTCATGCTCAAAGTTGTTCCTCCGTCCTGTCAGATGTCGGTGCGCAGTCGAATGCTTCAAAAGGAGACTGCCCCGTGATTTTGACGATGTCACCAGCTCGTATAGCTTCGGATTCTGAACGGATGGCGACAACAACGTGCCTTCACAGCGCCCTGCCCCAACAGTTCCCCACCTCGATCGCGGTCCCCGCGGTCTCCACCGCGGTCCCCGCGGTCGCGTCGACGGGCTGGGCGGTCATCTTCGCCATTTTCCTGAGGCTCCAACTTTGCCAGCACGATCCGTTTCTGCATAGCGTGCTACTAGGCCGAGGTCCTTGTCGCCTTTTGTGCGCAGCATGTGTCCGTTGTCCTGCGATTCTGAACTCGTGGGCAATGATTCGCACAGGCTGGCCACGCACAACCTGATCGATCGACTGGTCGAAATTGATTGGCTTCACCTTATCCAGGCACACGGCACAACATCCCACATTGGCGATCGGCGCCTTCCGAAAGTACGAAAGTACTTCTTGAATTTCTCCGCTTCATGTTCAGTACTGGTGGTGTAGAGACAGAGCTTCGCGGCTCTGTCTCGACTGATTGTGTTGACGATAGACCGATAGACGGTATCGTAGTCTTAGCAGGGCGTCACGGTGCGATGTGTCGCTGAATCTCACGAGACTAGCATGGACAAGCCCTGCTCAAGCTGCATCTTCATCTGAGGCGGCAACATGTGATTGCGGCAGATCCTTCAGTATCATCAAATCATCCTTTGAAAACTGCGCCCACCTGGCACGTGAGGAAAGTTGTCTCTTGGAAATGCAGGCTCAAGGCTTTCGCAGTAAACCGGACACGGGTACAGGCGCTCCCTCTGCTGCGCAGCCTGCAGAAACAGGATGTGGGCTCGGATGGGGCCCTCGGAGGTCTCGGCCCTTTCGCTTGCAGAGATCTCGAGCCTCTGCAGCCTCTGCTTCAAGCGCCTCCGTACTCTCCGGAGCCGCCAAGCGAAGTGCCTGTTTTTCGTCGGCATATCATTGGGCGACCGAGCCGGCCCCCCGCCCCGAGCCCGCTGAGAGCCCTGCCTCACCATTGTTCTCGGCCACTTCAACCTTTGCCGCGAGCCCGCCGCGAGCCCGCTACGACCGTCTCACTGCACGCTCCGAAACGGGGGCCTGGTCGGCCTCCGACATTCCCTGGGCCGACCAGGGGTCGACTTCAAAACTGACCTGTGTTGCGTAAGGCAGCCCGGGACTTCTCAGAAGGCACCCTTTTCCCCTGCCTCAACTCGGTCTTCAACCTGGCTCGGGTTGGCCACGTCCATGCTGTCACCGTCCATTGCTGGCTTCTTCACCGAATCCAAAAGCACAGGATACAAAAGAGCAAAGAGGTCGCCCGATGTCACTTGCTTGTGCTTTGGATTTCTCTCGCGGTAGCTCTCTTTTCAAGTCGTGTGCCAGTGCGGTGCAGCAGGATGCCGAGTAAGAGGAGGGTGCGTCAGCTGAGTCATTAGTCACAAAGTGCGTTCATGTGCCACGGCTCGAATTGGCTGCGAGATGCGGAAGTGGAAAAGGGCAATCACCCGCGAGGCTCTGAAGCACCAAAAGCTCAAGCAGTTCCGTGCTCGCTACGACAGTCGGCAGCTTGGAGCTTCAGGGGCACTGCGGTTCAACTGCTGCCTGCATCGACCACACTCGTCCTCACTGCATGGTATTCTTATGCGGCTCAACCCTTCAACCTCAGATCACAGAAATTTGAGGCAATCGAGGAAGACTAGGGCTACTAAGCCCCTATAGAGCAGTGCCTCCGGCATCGACCATTCCAAATGCAGCGCGAGGCCGCTTCGTCCCGATGCCGAAAACCATGACGACGAGGATGGTGATGATACGAGGAATAACCAACCCAAAGCAAAAGCAGTGATTCAGTTGAGAGATGATTGATTGTAGAAGCTTAAATTCCCTTTCTTGGTGGCAAGATCAAAAACCTTCTTCTTCGGAAAGGTATAGGAGAACCGCCCCGATGCTTTTTCGCACAAAGGCACACAAAGCTCGGCTCTGGGCAGCTGGGAGCGGGCAGAAGGCTCCTCCTCACTCCTGGCCTCCCTGGCCAGGGGCGGCTTTGTGGCTGAGCGGCTGGGGTGAGACGCGCGTGCGCGGCGGCAGTCGGCGGTGGTAGCCGCGCGCAAGGAGCATATATGGTACAAGCGGACATGCGCGGTACTAGGACTCTTTCCTGCGACAGCTGGCCAAGTGTCTCAGCACATACTCCTCCAAGACGTTCCGCATTGCCTGCAGAATGACCTGCTTTGCAGAATTCCGGATTGCCCTGCGCATGGTAAGCAAGCAAGAGGCTGCAAACAAAACGCAGGAGTCGCCGTGCCTGATCCTTTGGATCCTTCATCGATGGCTGCAGTGCTCGTGCATCCAAGCATCGCGCTTTTTCTGGTGCTGGGCGATCTTTGGTCACAACACCTTCAGGCAACGAGCCACCCATCCGAGACACTTTTGGGTCCTGCTTTACGGGACTCGCTAGAAGGGGTTTGCTAAAGCCCGCGCTTTACTTGTCTAGACTCGGCACCTGAGAAGCCATTGTCAGGATCAATCCACCACTCTCCCCCTTCGCCAGCTGCTTCCACCAGAGCCTCCGGGCTGTTTGCCAGGCACCACCTTACATGAGCTGCAGGATCTTTCTGCTTTACGTGTATGGTGACTAGAAGCGTTCAGGACATTGCAGGACCGTACATTGGTCATATTGAAAAGGGATGATTCAAGTTGAGATTCTCGAAAAGGAAACAGACCTCGTCGCAGAGTGGAGCATCACAGGTGCCAAGCGCAAAGGCTTTGACCGTGCTCTGCTTGTAGCTTGCAACCTTCTCAAAGATCCCCTCGTCTCTCATGAGGCTTTCTGCATATTTCTGAAGTCCGCGCGGGTCGTTGGCCAGGGGAACAATCTCCCTGAATCGACTCTGCTCCTCCTCTGTCAAGGTGTTGCCCCGGAAGAGAGACCACTTGTCGGGACGGATGAGGTTGCCTTGGAACTCCTGGTAGCAAACAAACCCACAAAAAAGTGCTCACAAAGACATCTTTGGGGGCAGTCTTGGGGTCTAGGGCCTCTAGGGCGTTTTTTGGTCTGGGTCCTCTGCAAACACGAAGATCGCTGCTGCCAGGAGCGGTTCAGCCTCTGATAGCCTCTCTGCCAGCGTCGGTGAGGCGAAGCTGTCTGCACTGGCCGTAACCGGATCAGCTTCAGCCTTGCCGAAGAAGACAAACTTCGAGATGTCAATGAGGGGCCTGGACTGCGCGATCTGGCAGACGTAGTGCAGGTCCCTGGGTTCCATGCCGGTGGTATTGAAAGAGCCAGTATACATCACCACGTGGGCTCGTTTGCAGAGTCTTTCGAAGGCATCTGGGTAGCGAGTCTCAACTACGGAGAACCTTGGTCCAAGGGAGAAAAAAGAGAAGCTTCTGGGGCTTCTGGCAGTCTTGCAACAGTCAGCCCCCCGGAAAGGGTTCTGCAGTATGCCACGAGCTGCTACGTGGAGCTTTGGGTCTAAAGGATTACCGGGGTTGTTTGTGGCACAGACAAGCCGAAGCAAACCCGAAATATCGCCCCCCAGGAGTCGCCAAAGCGCAGATCACCTAAGTGACCGCGTCCAGGTGCGATGATGTAAAGATCTAGCTCTGCTTCCTCTGGCTCCTCTCCCTTCGGCTTTGCGTCGCCTCTGTGTGAGAGGCGACTGATCTCCTCAGAAGGAACTCTGTGATTTAAAAAGCTGAGGAGGCTTTAAGAGCCGTAGAAGATACGGGGGCTGCACGGATTCTCAGCGGAGGTCCGTAGGTCGCTATCTTCTGGATCGAGACACCCCCTAGAGTCCCATTTTAGAGTCTTTGTCGTCCTCGGCGGGCACTGCCAAGGAAGCTTCTCGGCGATCCCAAAGCGCTTCGGCGAGCGGATGAACCTCAGCGCTCGCAAACGCAAAGGGTAATTATAGGGGTTTATTTTGGGTACATAGGGTACATGGGGAGTATCGGGCAGGGTTTAGGGGATAGTGTACAGGGCATATGAAGTTGAAGTTGAAGGTTTACGAGATATCCGGAGTTCGGGGCTTCGAGTCCTTGTCGAGGGCTTTCGGACAAATGGTTGGATTCCGCTCGCTTCGCTTGAGGCTCTTTTTCTTGCAAGCCCGAAGATGGCTACGAAGACAAGCAGCAAAATCCCTGAACCCTTCAAAGCCTAAAGTTTAGATTAAAGCCCCATAAACTCATAGCTATCTTCAGCTATCTTCTTGTCTCTGAGGGGCCGTCTTGTCGTAGTAGGTCGAATTCTGGGAGCATAGAATCTGGAAGTCTCTGCCAGGCTCCAGGCCCAACATGAGCCGAGCCATCAACAACCTCAGCCATTGCATTTCAGGGAAATCAAGGGCTCAGGTTCAAGGCAGCTAGAGAAGGACAGTTCGGGCTTACAGGCTTCTGGTGGCTTTCGGGCTGCTTCTGAGAAAAATTCGGTCGGTGCAGTTTCACGCCGACAAGCCTAAATTCCGAGCCCTCCAACACAAAGGAGCTTTTTCTCGAAGACGGTGCAGCCGTCTTTGTGCGCGAAGTCGGCGCCGAAGATGATCACCGGCCTTGAGCAGCTCTTATGGTTTCTCATGGAGTTCATCTTCGGCCCTACTTCCTACATCATTGCCTTGCGAAGCTCTAATTAGGGCTTGAAGCAGATGAATGCTCTTCGCAGACACAGAAACAGCAGACACAGCAAGGATCTTCAAAAATCGCGATTAAGGAATATATACGCTTCTACACACCCCTAGAGAGCTCCCAGAGAGAGCCCTTTCCGAGCCTTGCCCTGGATCCTTTGAGCTTTAGCCGCTCCAGCTTCCACTCCCAGAGCTGAGCAATCGCCATCAAATCATCCACCTCTCCGCAACCGCGACTCGAAGGAAGCAGGGGGCCAAGGGCCCCAAGGGGACCCAAGAGAAGGGACTTCTAAAGGGGAAGAGCCGAGGAAACCCGAGCCCCGACTACCCTAAATTCACGGTGCGAAGAGATCGAGGGGGGGGGGCATCTTCTATGCCAAAAACGCGATGTCCTCCGTGCCTCGAAGTCCGAGTAAATGATCAGCGGAAGCAGCTCTGCTGCTTCCCTTCCTTCGGCGCAGAACCAGAGCACAAAAGAAAAGCCTAGAGCCAGCAAACCCAAAGGACCTCAAACTCAGCCCTGCTTGGGCCAGATTGCAGAATAGAATCCTACCTCCGTCGTCCGTATAAGTCCCTTTCAGCCATATCTTATCTCAACTTTGAGACTTCCTTTTGCGGAGGGCTGGGAGGCAGCCGAGGGTCCGGTGCCATCTGCGCCATTGGGCAACCACTCTCCCAGGCGGATCTGCAGAGGATGAGGCGGAGAGGGATCAGAAGTAGCAGAAAACCCCCCAAAACGGCTAAGTCCGCTCTATCGAATCGTCCAGGTAGGATTGTCTCTCTGTCTGTGTGTCTCTGTCTCTGTCTCTGTCTCTGTCTGTGTGTGTGTGTGTGTGTCTGTGTCTGTGTGTGTGTCTGTGTGTGTGTCTGTGTCTG